ACAATACCAAAAAGAAACAAACGGAACATACCATATTCAAAAGCCAAACAAAAACAAAATTATCTTTAAAACGACACAGGGAGCCCAAAGTTTCTTTTTTTTATTTTGTTTTTGGATAATTTGTCAAAGTTAAGTCATCTAACGTTTTTTTCTTGCTTTTCTAGGGTTAACCCTAACCCTAACCCTAGTCTTACTCAAATAAAATTCTGGCTCTGATGGAATCCACGGAGAAAAAGGAGAAAAGGATAAAAAACGAAAACATGTCGTTCATGTCGATTTTTGCTTCCAGGCACCCATGTTTGGACTCAATGAAAAAATGCTTGCTCACTGGGATGAACGGGATCATTGGCTTGGAAGAGAAGAAGCCTGGCCCATAAAGAAGGAAATATGGGATGGAAATCGATGGGTAGAGCTACAGTGGTTTTGGGACCCCACTAAGACCTGGGTTGTTCCATGTTGTTGTAGCCATTGTGGTATTCCCATATCTGCCAAGCAATTACTTGAATCATTGGATTCTGTTACAGAAGGCATTAAACTTGTGGATTGCCCAGAATGTCTGGAATCATTCGAAGACCTTATCAAGACCACTTCTGGTTGTCCACGTAATATTGCTCTAATTGGTCACTGGGATGGTCACTTTGGGATTAGTTTGTGGAATATTTGCAAAGAAGTCCCAAAGGGTGGGATTTTCTTGTGAGTTTGAAATGTTTTTTGACTCAACTTTGGATTAGTTTGTGAAATATTCCCAAAGAATTCCCAAAGAGTGGGATTTTCTTGTGAGTTTGAAATGTTTTTTGACTCAACTTTGGGATTAGATTGTGAAATATTTCCAAATGTTTCCCAACAGTGGGATTTTCTTGTGATTTTGAAATGATTTTTGACTCAACTTTGGGATTAGTTTGTGGAATATTTGCAAAGAAGTCCCAAAGAGTGGGATTTTCTTGTGAGTTTGAAATGAATTTTGACTCAACTTTAGGATTAGGGACTGTGCAATAATATCAGGAGGACAGGGGGGGTGTAAAACCAGCTTTCTCAAGAGGAAAATTAGGCAGTACCCCCTGGGATAGCATAAGAAAATAGGTCTGACCCCCCTCTGCTATACAAGAAATAACGTCGAACCCCCCCCCCCCCCAAAAAAAAAAAAAAAAAAAAAAAAATAAACCTTAATTATAGTAACCTTACTGTAAATACATGTAATACATGTTATTCATGCCTTTGAGACTTGGTTTATGTCATCGTCTGCTACAAACAGAACTTCAAACGAATGCTCAACAAAAGCCATCGATTTCATGGGAGTCATATGAATCTAAATCATAATGGTTTTCAAAACTACTTGAGTCAGAAGATTCATATTCGGAATCACTGGATAAGAATTCTGTGTCACTATCATTGGAACCAATAGCCAATGTGCGCGGCAGACATCTTGGATTTTGAGCGCGCAATGTATCCTGGGAGACTGAGTAGTTCCTAAAATGAGCATAAAGTTTGATAAACAGAAGTTCCAGGTTTTTTCAAAACTCTTTTGAAGCTGCAACTATTACTGAGCTGAAGCGTTGGTTAAAATGTCGAGGAGCATCCATTAAAGRTCTGAAAAGTGAGCTTGTTGAAAGGTAATCTGTCACACTTCGCACCTCAATTGGTCAATTATAATATCCTGTCAGAGTAGTAAACTATACTTTTCGAAACGATCTAGGTGTGAAATCTACTCAGCTGATCCAACAAGGTTTCACAATGTGATYGACCCGGATTTAATCCATTCCGACACCAGAATCTATTCTTGTAAATTATCCTAGCGTGAAAGACAACCTCCAAGATGGCATACTTTGGACTAGATCACTTCTTGGTTTGTCCAGTGGTTTTGGGGAGAGAAAAATATTTGAACATCTTGGGCCCGGGAGATTAAAACACAGAGTTGCTGGGTGATCAACATGCTTATATCAACGAACAAGATATCCAATCTCGAAGTGAAAGGTATCGTAGAGCGTACGGGAAGGATCTCAGTGTAGAGATCAACAACATAACTGGGAGAGTGGACGAAGGCCACTGGGGCTAAAGGCATTTGCAAACATGTAGCAGCGATGTTATTCAAGAAAATGTGCCTCAAGATCTCATTCAATTAAGTCTGAGCAGAAAGAACAGGTACTTACAGAGCAGAACTACAGTTACTAATACTATACTTCCAAGTTTAGACACAGCTTGTTTTTCCTGGGAATCACCTGGTGTGATTTCATGGTATATTATAAAGTTAGTATCAGAAATTATTACAAGAAAGACCTATGTTTACAAATAAATAGTGTGTGTCAAAATATCGATAAATACTTATCTTGAATTTACATTTGTAAAAGTTCCCAGGGGGATACTCCCCTATATTTGCTATATGGGTATGTGCCGCAGGCCAGGGTCCCTTTTTTGGAGCTCCAAGTCTGGGATAGGTTATCATTTTTTGCCCATTTGTCTGGGTTAGGGTAGTAGTTTTGTCTGTGATAGGGTAGTTTTTTGTTTAGGATAGGGTATAGTCTCATTGTCTGGGGTAGGGTGGAGTTTTGACTGTGATCGTATCTGCTAGGCCA